TATTTTTATTTATCCTAAACTTAGTTTTTTATTAATGTTATATTAACTAAATTTTATTAATTTTAAAATTAAGTTTTCATATATAATTTTACTGTTAGAAGTTAATTCCGGAACAATTCACGGAATCCAATATTACAAATTCAATATCATTTTTATGCAGAAATTGACGGAAAGACTAGCAGACGCCCTTATTTTCACGGTCACGTTTCTTACTTTTACAAGGAGCTCCGCTTATTCGACGTATATATATGAGACTAGCCAAGAATCTTATTGACCAGGTTTTTATTGGCTTAATTAATTGATTAATTAAAAGTTTAAAAAGACAGCTAAAGCTTCCTTCTATAGATATACGATAAATATAATATTTATCGACCTGGACGCCTACGTGTGTGTGAATATATATATATATATACAGTTTACCTTTGTATATTATAATTGGCAAAACATAAAGTTACCCTTTATCCTGTAATTCTATAATCAAATCCTCCCCAAAAAAATCCCCTTAGAAATTGAATCAAGCTCATTGCAATTGAAATATATATGTATATGTATATGTATATGTATATGTATATGTATATGTATATGTATATGTATATGTATATGTGTGTGTGTGTGTATAATTAAATAATACCATTTCACTAGTACTATTTTGTGGGTTGCTGTCCCTCTCTCTCTCTCTCTCTCTCTCTCTCTCTCCTGCCACCTTTTTTCATAGAGATTAGAGAGGTTTAGTGCATGAATTTTTTAAGTAAATAATTAATGAGACAGATTAATCAATTCAGCTCTAACCATTATATATTAAAAATAAATTCAAAAATATTAATATCTCCCTTATATATAAAGAAATTCAAATAATAATTAACATTACAACATAACATATATTTTATAATTGATGGTTATCATATATAATTTATATATATATATATATGTATAGTAAGCATCATAAATTTAATTACACGTTCTTTTTATATAAATAAGAATTACATAATTAAAAATTATTAATTACAATGATTATTTTAATTATTATTAAATATTTTAATTATTATTAAATATTTTAATAATTGAAACTTTTTATATATTATATGTTGTCATATATGATGTATATTAATAATTACAAATTTAAATATATTTCTTTAACACAAATGTATGGAAATACATAAAAATATAATTGAATAAATTTCAAACAATAAAGTTAAATATAAAGTGTTCTCTTACAAATAAGTGAAAATTAAATATAATAAATGCTTTTAAGATTTAGATTTAGAGCACACTGGTTTCTGGCTTCCGGCTTCATGTTGGTGTTGACATCCTTTGGTGTCGTTTTATATGTTGTTTGGCGCCGTTTTCATGTTTGTCGCAACCATTTTATCTTGTCTGCTCCCGTTTGTGCTCACCGGACTGTATATTATATGCCTTTTTGTTTACACTCTTATCTTTGCTGCATATTTTGACTTAATTAATCTTTTTAAAAAAATTATTTTTAAAAAAATTAAGTAAATTAAAGCATTATTAATTGCAAGATTATATATTAATTATGTTAAATATTTTATTACGTAAATTTAAACATATAATTTTGTAAATAAAATAGAATAAAAATATTAAAATACTATATACACAATAAAATAATTAACTACCTTTCCCCAATCCGCCATTAACTTTTGCTTAATTCATATGGTACCCCACAAGATTTCTGCAATGTGGCCCTAATCCTCCACTCCATCTCTCTCTCTCTCTCTCTATCATAATTTTCTCTTATTATCGTTATCATATACTTACAAATAATATATATTATACATGTATATGTATATATGTACGTACGTGTCTATATATATATATATATATATAGAACCCAACTCTCACGTCTCACGACCCAATATCAACTCACCCGTCTCACACATTTTGCCTTACGTTAAAACGCAAAGAGCACTATTTCTCTCTACTTGTCTCGTAAATGGCAACAGCATCTGCGACCCGAGCCCGAGCCATTTGGCGCAAGTGTTTAGCCTCGGCCTTCCGCACCGCCCTGGCCTGCACCATCGTCGGCGTCACCACCTTATACGGACCCTCCAGCCTGACACGTTACGCCACCTTCCCGGCCTTCTCCTACGTCAGCACCATCCTCCTCGTCCCCGACAGCGCCACCCTTGGCGACACGCTGCATGGCTTCTGGCTGGCGCTATACGCGACGTGTCAGAGCGTGGGGCCGGCACTACTGAGCCTGTGGCTGATCGGGCCGACCCACCTGACCAATGGCACCACCGCGCTAGCTGTGGCAGCCGCAGGGTTCGTGGTGACGGTGCCTGAGTCGACTCACTTGAAAGCAAAGCGTATTGCGCTGGGTCAGATTGTGTTGATATACGTGGTGGCTTTTATCAAAGGGGAGAAGGCTGAGGCTGTTTTGAATCCTGTGCATGTGGCGGCGAGTACGGCGATTGGTGTAGCGGCTTCTCTTTTGGCTTTGCTTCTGCCATTTCCAAGGCTCGCTTGTTCAGAGGTAATTAATTATTTAATATCATTAAGGTTAGAGGTAAATTTGTTGGGTAAAAAGTAAATAAGAGATAATTAATCATTATACATAAAGATATTCATATACATATAAATTGACTCGGACTCATGACATAATATCCGTACACTCCAAATAGATATATATGTATATATATATATATATGAGAACATTTTTTTCAAAAGAAACATTATTATCTATCATTAACACGTTTAATCTGAATAAATGTTTTGTGTTTTGTAACTAAGATTGATTTGGCAAAAGATTTTGCCATATAAAATAAAATTATTTATTTTCAATTACAATTATATCTATTGTGGACAAGAAAATATATATATATATATATATGTACCAGGGGTTTTTTTTCTAAAAAACATAATTATTACATGAAATCGGAAGCTCCAAAATTCTATGAATTGGTGTGTATAATTGGGAAGCCTGCAACAAAATTATATATAATGCATATGTATTGCCTAATCACCAGCTATAACATAGTTAATTAAAATATTTACGCAATAAATATTTAATTAGCCACAAAATTTGTTTAAAATATTATTACTGTGTAAATTAAATAATCTGCGGTTAATTAATTAATTAATCTCTTATTATTTTCTTGTTGCAGGTGAAGGAGAGCTGTAAGCTGCTTGCCGAAAACACGTCAGCTAGGTTAAAGCTCTATATCAGAGCGTTCTGTGCAGAAGACAACGCATCAGCTGTTTCATCAATCTCTCAAGCTACGTTATTAGCTTCTTCCGCAACCAAACTCCATCAAACCATAAAACGTTACCAAGTAAGATTACATACACACGTACGTACGTACATATATATATATATATATATGCGTATCTATGTTTTCCATTTGCTGATTGTGATTAAATTGCAGGAAAGCATTAAATGGGAGAGGCCTCCATTTAAATTTCTGAGACCGTATTACTCGAACTTATCTGGGGAGAAGCTGCAAGACGTGGAGAGAAGCTTAAGAGCAATGGAAATGGCTTTAACCAGTACTAATTCTTCACTTCCTGTAAGAACCCTAGTCAACGGAGATATCAAAGAAGGTCTAAAGAAATTGGAAGAACACTTTGACTCCACCATGAAAATAGCTAAGGGCTATCTGTCTTCCGATTCATCAACCGTTCCCGAAGCATACGTTGCAGAAAACTCTTCCTTGGGGTCCTTCCAAACACTTCAGACCATCCCATCAACTCATCAAGACTTATCATCTTTCTTCTTCGTTTTCTCCATTAAACTCCTGCAATCCAAACTGTTTCCGAAACCCAGTTCGTGTTCTTCTCCAGACTGGCAAGATGATTTGGCAAAGAATAAAACAGATGGTCAGGGATTGAAATTACAAGAAGGGTTTTCGTTGAAAAAGGAAATGAGTGATTGGATCGTAAAAGCAAGAACTAAAATGTTTATGCCAGCTTTTAAATTATCTTTGTCCTTGGGTCTGGCAACTCTTTTTGGCCTGATCTACAGTAAAGAAAATGGCTATTGGTCAGGTTTGCCGGTGGCTATCAGCCTCGCTGCCGGACGAGAAGCCACCTTTAAAATAGCAAATGTGAAAGCTCAAGGGACGGTGCTTGGATCAGTTTATGGCGTATTGGGTTGCTTTGTGTTCGAAAGGTATTTGCCTGTAAGGTTCCTTTCTCTTCTTCCCTGGTTTATTTTCACCAGCTTCTTAAGCCGGAGCGTGATGTACGGCCAAGCTGGAGGCATCTCCTCCGCGATTGGCGCACTTTTGATACTGGGAAGGAAGAATTTCGGTCCTCCAAGTGAATTCGCCATTGCAAGAATCACTGAAACTTTCATTGGATTATCTTGTTCAATCTTCGTCGACCTTCTTTTTCAACCCACCAGAGCTTCTACGTTGGCAAAAGCTCAGCTCCCGAAAATTTTTGGAGTCTTGCACCGGTGTATCAATTCAGTGAACTTTGATACTAAAGTTGGTAAAAAAATCAGCTTAACTTCTTGCCAAAATAAGCTGAAAGCCCGAGTTGGTGAGCTGGAGAAGTTCGTAGCCGAAGCTGAGGTGGAGCCCAACTTCTGGTTTTTGCCTTTTCATAGTGCTTGCTATCGTAAGCTTCTGCGATCTCTGTCAGCAATGGCAGATCTTTTGCTTTTTGGGAATCTTGCCATTGGATTCCTCAAACAAGAATCAGAAAAATACAGTTCTGAATTGAAAGAGACTCTACAAAATAAGCTTGATGGCGACCTTAAGCTTTTCAAGGACCTAGTCGTCTCCCTGTTAAAGGACTTCGAACATATCACTTCGATAAAATCGCTCGCAGCTCTTGAAAAATCACTTGAGAAGAACAACGTGTCTTGGGATCTTGAGATGGGATCTTCGAAATCGGGTTTTTTTAAAGCTTCTGGTTCAGATCATAACGAAGAAGAAGATGAAGTTGACAAGATTTTGAGTCCCTTTTTGAGGGACGCCGCTGAAGTTGTGGAGAAAATCCATGGAGTGAAAGGTGACGAGGAAGATGACGACGAAGAAGAAGAAGAAGAAAGAGAAGTGATAATCCAAATGGTTGTGGGGTTGACTGCATTAGGGTTTTGCATGAAGGGGATTGTGAGAGAAGCGAGAGAGATTGAAGAAGGAATAAAAGAACTAGTGCAGTGGGAGAATCCTACGTATCATGTTAATTTGCATGAGGTTTCATGCAAAATACAAGCCTTATACAAATAAATAAAATAAATGTAATTTGTACTTTTAAACAAGAAAATTAAACAGAAAATTTAAGTTAATGTTTGAAGAAGATGGTGTTTGATATACACGTATATACATACATATACATATGTATTTGTATTTACAAGTTTAAAAAATAGTTGTTTTGCTAACCATTTAGTATAGTGTGCGGTTTATCAAAAGAGAAATATATATAATGTTTGTAAGTACATGTGCACGCTATATCTTATGCTGGAAGAAATTAGAATGTGCGATTCAAATTTCATCTCAATTGATTAGGAATATTATTTTAATTTTATAATTAATAGTTTATATCTACTTTTTTTTTTTTAGTTTTATAGGGAATTTTTATCATTTTTTAATTCGACTTAGTGCGTAAATTTTCAGAAAATTAATCATTACAATTTTAATTTTATTATTATTTTAAGTGATTTTTTAAAAAACTTAAATGAATAAAAAATAATTCAATCTATTACTTATGTTTATTTAAGCCAAAATCAATCTTATTTAAGCCATTGCAAATTTAATTGAAAAGTTTAGAAGCAATAAGATTGGGACTTTTTAACTCTTGTCGTGCAGATTATATGATATAATTTAATTATTTTTTCTAAAAATGTAAATTAATAAAAAAATATATATATTTCATTATTATTTATAGCTTCTTCCTGACTCGATGACCTCTATCCCACTCACTGGGTTTTATGTTTTAGTAGATTATTTAGGACTGAGTCAACTTTGGGCCTCAATATCATTGGGCCAAGGCCCAAGTTCATAAAATGAAGAATTCAGAAGAAAAAGTGTGGCTGCTGGGATTCGAGCCCAGGTCTCCACGGCCACAACGTGGAATTCTAACCACTAAACTACAGCCACTTTGTGCTAGAACAGTTCTAATTTTAATCATATTTTGTTTCGGTGGGTCGAGAGAATGCCCATGAACATTGTTCGAGAAGATAACTCTTTGTACCAGGAGAGGGTACAATGCAAACAGTAATTAATGGAAAATATGTGATAAATTAGTCCATTATTAATTTCAGTAATCTAATTACGATAAATATATTAAAATAAAAATGTCATTTATAAGTAAATCAACTTTACATTATAAAAAATAAAATAGTAGTTTTTTGACAACCATCTACCGTAGTCACTTATTGTACAACATGTATTATTTATATTTTACATACCAAATAGTGAGATGTCAAGCCCCCCTCTCCAATTTCAAAAGACATTTTATTCGGTATATGACTCGTTGACCCAAATAGTATTATTATTCATCATTAATTCCTATACGACTCATAATTCTGTTTATTCATTAATTATTTTCGACAAGTCTCACGAGATGAATGATCATATTCTGACTTGTGTAAATGACTACTTAATTTTATGGGACAAAATTGAAGAGTCGAGTTTTGAAATTTAATTGATTCACAAAATTCTCCGTAAAATAAACACAGACTATTTTCCCCACTCCCAACGTTAACGTTAAGTGGACTGACTCTCTCCTTCTTGATTAAGCTTACGTCCCTTAATTAATCACTTTAAATCCTTAATTACGGCCTCTCTTAATCTAATCACATTTATTTTTTTCTTTGTTTTTTATTTTATTCCTCCATATCCACCGGGCAGATCCTTTAAATCTACTCAAGGTAACTATGTATTTAAAAAAAAAAAAAAAAAAAGTCAAACATTATAATTTATTTTCTTATTTTTTATTATTGTTTTCAAATTAAATTAATAGTTTGGTATGATCTGCAGCTTTAAGTTACTATTTGTTATCGAGGAGCTATCAATTCGAAGTTGCTTGCTTTACGTAATTCTGAAGGTTCTAGTTCTCCTTTTTTTTTTTTCTTTTTCCGATTTTAACAATTTATTATTTTTCCAAAATTCAGTATTTGGTGGAAGAAGCTTCGATTTTTCTGTACGACTGGTTTTCTGGGACCATAAATACACGTCTCTGATCTTTGAGTCTTCGTGAGGTCGGAAGTTGGGTTTAGGGTTGACGAGCGATTATCCTCGGGAAAATTACTTTCAGGTTTTTTTGTCTTCGTCCTCGCATTCATTTTCCGTCTCTGATCCGGAAGTTCTGAGTCGTCTTCTTTCAGTGAATCTGCAAATGTTTATCTGATCTATGATTCAAAATTCGTTGTTTTTTGTTTTTTTCTTGCTGTGTGTGGAATACATTTTTAGGTGTGTGTTGACTGTTTGGTCGATTGCTGCAGGCGTTGAATTCAGGATATCTAAGTAATGGCGAATAATTCGGCAAACGGAGAAAAACAAACCACAAAGCCTCCACCAACGCCGTCTCCACTGCGTAATTCCAAGTTTTTTCAGGTGAGTCATCTGAGTAAAATTTCATAATACTTTGCAATCGGGCCGTTTACGCCTGTAGAATTTACCATTTGTTAATTAGAATCTGAGTAGGAGGTTTCTCGTAGACTGATTTATTTAATTGGGTGCAATTTACCATTTGGACACTATCTAGGAGTTCAAAGTCTGAGGCGATCTGCACTTTGCTTGATTTTATTTTTTAGCTTGATATTTCTGATATAGCTGAATATTTCTGTTGTCATTTTCACTCAAGTGGGGCAGAGGTGACACGGTTGTATGGCCCTGCTGTGCACACTATCTCAAAAAGTTGAGAAATTTTAATGTGGGTGTATGTAGGGGTTAAATTTCAGCAGTATCTATTGTGCAATTGGATCACATGGTAAACCCAAGAGCTAGTGCTGGAAATCAGATCAATCTCATTAGTCTAATTATATGTGTTATATCCCGGGTGATTGAAAATGTGAATCAGGTTGCTGAAATGTCGGTTGGCTGACAATGTTCTTTTTTTTACTTTTTTTCACAAACAATTAGCAAAACTGACCCCTCTCATCAATTTGTTGACGGCCCCTTTCTGTATTTTTCAAATTAAATGCGAATAATATGAATGAAAATACACAAAATCCTAGATCTAGCAATTAAAAGCCCACAACATCACAAATAGGTCTTTAGTCGACAGAAATCACTAATGTTGTGCAGAGGGATTGAGGGATTTGATTTCATCTGTTCTGGCTGAGTTTGTAGCCACATATCTGTTACTCTGTAAGGGATCTTGTCTGTTCTCTACTAGCTTCTCCTTGAAGTCTTAGGTGTGTGTAAATTCTTCTGTGGGCAAACCTATGGCAGTTTGTATCTTGTATTTATGTTCGATTGCATATTGTAGTAATTTGCATGATAGAAGAAAGTTTCTTCCACCTGAAAATATCTGTCAGACTTCCATCTAGGTGTTTTGTTGTTACTTCTATTATTTACTTGATTGATGTTCACTAAACGAATATCCTTTCATAATGATGCAGTCCAATATGAGAATCCTGGTTACTGGAGGAGCTGGATTCATTGGTTCTCACCTAGTTGACAGATTGATGGAAAATGAAAAGAATGAGGTTTGTTTGCCTTGCATACCTTATTCAGTATCATGATTCAAACATAGTGTCTAAATTTTCTGCATTCAGGTGATTGTTGTTGATAATTACTTCACTGGATCAAAGGACAACCTTAAGAAGTGGATTGATCATCCAAGATTTGAGCTTATTCGTCATGGTATGCCCTTGAAGTTTGATTTTGTGATTCTTTTATACAGCCTAAGGCTTTTTCCAATGCAATGTGGGTTTTAAAATGCTACTTTTTCTTGTTTATAATAACCTACACGGGCATCCATATTGGATTTAGTTTTGTTGCATTTACTTAGAGTAATTTAAATTTCAGTTTCACTATTTTTTATTAATTATTATGTTCCTCAGGTTATGTGGTCTTTAAGTTTTTCAACATGACTTGGTCTATTAGCTGCTGTATGACATAACCATGTAACGTATGATCATTTGGCATTAAGTTAAAAATTATTGAGATTAAATCGATATTATTTATATTTGAGTTGAAGTGAAAAGTAAGTACCAAGTCATGCATGAATTATATTGAATATTTTCCATCATGGTGAGTCATCAAATTCTGCATTTTTTTGGCAATCTGGCAACAGTCACCCATCAGCATATTTCCTGCTTTCAGTATTTAAATGGACCATGCTACATAGCATATATAATCTCTATAGGATTTCATAGTGTTGATTGAGTTGTACTATATTCACCCATTTTCTCCTTGTTACAGATGTTACAGAAACATTGCTGGTTGAGGTTGATCAGATTTACCATCTTGCATGCCCTGCTTCTCCTATTTTCTACAAGTACAATCCTGTGAAGGTGTGTCTACATATGTTTAATATTGATTTAATAATATATTCTAGTGCTTTCATTTCCTTGTCAAGCGTGAGCAGAAGAGATCACGTTTCGTCCGGACTGACATTTCCATTGTGCCATCTTAGTTAAATAGTTTACTTGGCTGCAGGATAGAAATTCCTGTCATCTGTAAACCATATTAGTTCGGCATTTTGATCATTTAGTTTAGTATATCTATCTTGTCGAGATGTGTCTGCTTTGGGGTTTTATTGCCTATTAATAGAACATGTATAGTGAGCTTTCATTGCCTTAGAAAGTGATATGACAGAAAGTTGAACTCTAAGTCTTAGTCTTCTAAATATAAAAATTGGATTGATATGATCTATCTTTTGCGCACGGGATGGTGATTGTTCAACAGACAATAAAGACAAATGTCATTGGCACGCTGAACATGCTAGGACTTGCAAAACGAGTTGGAGCAAGGTTAGGGGATCTGCTTTTTAATATAGCTGTGCTGTTTCCATTTATTCCTTCAATTTATTGTAAAATTGCTCAACAGGATTCTACTTACATCAACTTCAGAGGTATATGGAGATCCTCTCATTCACCCCCAGCCTGAGACCTACTGGGGAAATGTTAATCCAATTGGTATGTTTTACCTGTGCTTATTTAAGTGATAATTCCATATGATGCTGTATTTATGGTAGTCAAGATTTTAATGGTCTGGGTACAAGAGAGAACTTTTAGTTGTTTTTGTTACGGACATTTATGTTTCCCTTGTTGCTGAGAAGAGTCCTAGTTGTCTTTCTGAGCAAGCCAAAAAGTGGTTATACCCTTCCATGAAGCTTTAAATCTCTAATCTTTTTAAGTGACTTCAGTAATTATCATAAAGCATTCTCCTTAATTTCTATATTAAGCATTCTCAATGTACCATCATTGCACTGCCTTCAAACTTGTGACAGTGGTGTCTGCTATAGATAGTAAAATTCATGGCTTGTAGCTTGTAACATTATCAACAATTATGGCTCTCCTTTTCTTGGGCTCAATATTGTCTTTTCTTTTAATGTAGGAGTTCGTAGCTGCTATGATGAGGGGAAGCGTGTAGCTGAGACTTTGATGTTCGATTATCACAGGCAGCATGGGATAGGTTTAATATGCTGTCCTTTTCGGCCTTCTAGTTTGCCTTGTTATCTCTGTGTTTTTTATTTGCATGGTCCCTTCTATTTTGTCTACAGAGATTCGCATTGCCAGAATCTTCAACACGTATGGACCTCGTATGAATATTGATGATGGACGTGTCGTTAGCAATTTCATAGCTCAAGCACTTCGGTATGTCTATATGCTGCTGCTTTATTCTAACTATCTAACTGTACTATTTTAAATAATGGAGAAAAATTATTGTAATAAATTTTTGTTGCATATAGTGTCTTAGTCCCCCTATCAGTTTTCTTATTTGGCTATGTCTAAGTGAATTTTCTTAAACCATTTGCTTTTCTTTTCTCTTTACTTACCTTTTCCATTTTAAAGGGGCGAACCATTGACAGTCCAGAAACCTGGGACACAAACTCGTAGCTTCTGTTATGTTTCTGACATGGTAAGTTGTAATTACATTTTACTTTAAAGGGTCATTTCCAATTGTAGGAAACACTATAAGTTGTTTGAATGTTTTAGGTTGATGGTCTCATCCGTCTGATGGAAGGAGACAATACAGGCCCCATTAACATTGGAAACCCAGGTATAAAAAACTGCAATTTCATGGTGCTTTGTTCCCCAAGTTTTCAGTATAAATTCCAATAAATTACTAAGATAATTTCTTGGTGGACTTACTAGGCGAATTCACCATGCTTGAACTGGCTGAGACTGTTAAGGATGTAAGTTTTTAACTTTTTTGCTGTTTTTCCTTGTTCCCTTTAGCTGCCAGTATACTAGTTAATAAATCACATTAAAATGGGTAACTTGAATGTTACTGTTAAGTTTGAAGTGTCAAGTCTAGTTGACTTTTTAAAAAAGGTTTTCTGGTTGAGACCAGAGATGTCAAAAGGGCCAGGTTGCCCAGAGAATGGCTGGGGCCAGCACGTCCCTGCGAAATTGGAAAAAGGGCTGGAAGAATGGGATCAAAACACTATGATAGTCATTTCTCTGCGGGCAAGAACATCTCTGTTCATGCATGCCCTTGGACCAGTTATGCATATAAAATTTGGACCTAATAGCACTGTAAACATCCTGTAACAATAGTAGTTCAGTGGGATCATTGATATGAAATATTTGCTGGTGTTATTCTGCAGCTTATCAATCCCAACGTGGAGATAAAGACGGTGGAGAACACTCCAGATGATCCTCGACAAAGGAAACCAGACATCACCAAGGCAAAAGAAGTCTTGGGGTGGGAGCCAAAGGTCAAGCTGCGAGAAGGCCTTCCCCTTATGGAGGAAGATTTCCGATTGAGACTTGGTGTCCCGAAGAAGTGAAAATAAACAAATGGGAATCATTGGCATTATAGAGTAGTAGGAAGGCAAGATTTCAGCGAGAGATTTTCGAGACACTGTTGTTCTTGTTCCCAGTTTGTGCTTTTGGGTATTCTCTATTTCATTTTCCATACAATAGAAAATAAGTCCTATTAATGTGGATTCTGAGATGATATGGATCTTTTTCAAAATTTTATCATTCACCAAATTTATGAAAATAGCCGTGAGCATAGATGACTGTTACAATTGGCTCAAATTTTGTTGAGACAGTGATCAATAAAAGTTTTGAACAGGGTTGGTCCTCTATATCCACCGGGGCTTGCATACTCTTCAGTTTTGAAGTCCTCGTCTTTTCCTTTTGTGCTACTATTTTACCTGTCTCATAATGATAAATTACTCATCTGCATAATAGAAAGTTGTCTTTGATAAATGCTCCAAATACCTGGAAAAAATCATGGATTTGTGAAAATATTTTTTTTTAAAACATATTTTGGGGAATATATGGAAGAAACTGTGGATTAAGGTTAAGTGTCTTAAAAGGTGAGCCCAAAACCAAACCAAACAAGACAACTGAAGACAGCAAAGATACCATTAGAAAGGCTCATATAAGGCTCAATTTAAGGCCCATTTCAAGGCCCCATCACAGGGCCATTTTAATGCTCATATAAGGCCCATTTTAAGGCCATCTCAGACCCATATAGACCCATGTGAGACCCATTTTAAGGTCCTATCAGGCCCATATGATGCCCATCTCAGACACGAGGCCCTTCACAGGCCCATTTTAAGGCCCTTTCATGTGCATTGTGAGATCCATGTGAGGCCCGTATAGGCCCATTTTCCTGCCCATGTGAGGCCCATTAAGGCAATCCCATACCCATCTAAGGCCCATGCAAGGCCCATTTAAGGCAATCTCATACCCATTTTAAGGTCCATGTGATGCCCATTTTAAGACAATCTCAGACCCATATAGGCCCATGTGATGCCCATTTTAAGGCTATCTCATACGACATAGCTCATGTGAGGCCCATATTAAGGCCATCTCAGACCCATACAGGCCCATGTGAGGCCCGTTTTAAGGCCCTTCTCAGGCCCTTTTGAGCCCATATGAGGCCCTCTCACGCCCCTTTTAAGGCCCACTTAAGGCAATATGATACCCATTTTAAGGCCCATGCGAGGCCCATTTTGTACTGAATTTTTTGTTGTGTTATGTCAAATTTGTTTTAGATTTTAATTATATAGACTGACTATAAATATAATACTGTAGAAAGAATTTGAATAAAATTATTTTAATTTTAAGTCATATTTATGTTTGATCTAAATTAAATATTTAATTAATATCATTACAAATGAACAGAAATATAAAGAACAAAAAAAAAAACTAGTATCAAACTATGGTATTCTATTCTGCATGACATTTTAAATTATTTTTGTCAACTTTTTATTTTACAATAGTTATTTTTATTAACTTTTTATTTCATAATAATTATTTTAATTAAACATGCATCATATGTCTACATGGACATATGAATTGTTGTATAAGAAAAAACTAATGGATCTCACTGTGTCAATTATAATGATGAAAAATTGTACAATTCTGAAAATATATATTTTTTAAACATAGTTTGGGGAATAAATCGAAGAAAGTGTGGGTTACGGTGAAGTGTCTAAAAAGGTAAGCCCAAAACCAATCAAGACAACTGAAGACAGCAAAAGGTACCCTTAAGAAAGGCCCACATAAGCCCATTAGAGGCCCATTTTAAGCCTCCATATGAGGCTCATTTAAGGCCCATTTTAAGGCAAATCAGTCATTTTAAGGCCCATTTTAAGGCTCATATAGAGCCATAGCAGGCCCATTTTAAGACAGCCCCTTTTGAGGCCCACTTAAGGCCCATTTTAAGGCTATCTGACCCATATAAGGCCTATGGTAAGGCTCTATCAGGCCCATTTGAAGGCCCGTATGAGGCCCGTCTCAAGTCCATTTTGAGGCCCATGTGAGGACCACCTCCGGCCCATTTTAAGGTCATATCAGGCCCTATACAGCGCACCTCATGACATTTGAAGGGCCATGTGAAGACCAATTTAAGGGCTATCTTAGGCCCATTTAATGCACCCTCAGGGCCACTTTAAGGCCACCTCAGGCACATATAAAGCCCATTTTAGCGCCCAGCAGGGCTAATTTTAAGGCCCATATGAGGCCCATTTTTTGTTTGGTTATGCTGTGTCAAATTTGGTTAAGAATTTAATTATATAGACTGACTATAAATATAATACTGAAGAAAGAATTTGACTAAAACTAATTGAAAGTAATTTCTATGTTTAATTTAAATTAACTATAGAATTAGTATACTTGCTAATCAACAGAAATATAAATTTATCAACTAAAATTAAAAATAAGAGTAATAGTGATATATGACAAATCAGATGTATAAACTATAATTACTTTCTCCATCAGAAATGTTACAAATAAAAAGTTGAACTAAAATATTACACATTGAACCCATACTGTTGTTTCTTAACAGTAAACACACACTATGATAATCTCCTAGAAATGATACCCCATCTATTACATAAAATAATATTTTCAAAAAGTAAATTTAAATACGTTTCATTCGAATTCAGATTTTAATCCTGTAACATGAAAATAAAATTAAGATATAAATATTATAGAAGTTTTAAAAAAGAGTTCCCAGTCATTTGTATAATTTTTTCAATTATTTACTCAATCCCTAGTTGTGAGATTGAAAATGAGAAAATCTTATTCAATAACACACCAAATATGTAAACTAACTTTTACTTGTCTAGTGAACATTGTCAAATTAAGGTGAACAATAGCTTCGCATGCTTACAGACTCTCTGTGGCAAGAAAACTAAAGCCCATGTGTGCATAAACACCCTAGTGTTGCTCTCCTAGAATCAATAAGCCCATGCCCTCATAGAGATGGTTGAACCATGATAATAGGCTATAACCTTCCCAAAGGCATAGCTATTGAAAATTTAATATCCACGATAATAAATTCAAAAGCACAAAGAAGAAAATCGTCAGATGAGCAAAGGTTGTTTAACATTATTCAAGTCAAAACATAAAGATAGGAATTGGAGTATCTGACAATTTCTCTTCTATTATTAAAGATCATAGAAACAAAAGCAAGCAAGCAAGAAAGCCTCACTCCCTTTAGGTGCACCGTTGATGACATCGCCCTCCAGAAAATCACCTGCAAGACATATGAAGCACCCATTATTGTTATTCTTCAATATCTTATTGACAGTTATCACATATGTGTAAACATAATCACGTAATCATTTGAAAATGCTCATTGATAGATTGTCTGGTTCATTCAAAACTCAGTCAATTCCTAGTTCTAGGTTCCATATTAATTTTATTATGCACAATTAGAACTTAACTTGTTGACCTCAGCTTTCAATTCTTTGTTAGTGGAAAACTCAGCTTCTTACCTTTCATTGTGAAAATTGAATTTCTACCTTCAAGAAATTTAGGCTGAGTGGTGATGACTCAACTACAGTATCACTTTTAATTCTTTGGTAGTGGAAAAATCAGCTCTTATCTTTCAATGTGGGGATTGAATTTCTACCTTCAAGAAATATGGGCTGTGCAGTAGTAACTCAGCTACAGTAGATTGTAGTTAAATTATGCATATTAACACTAATATGAGAATCAAATCTAGAAATTGACTCGGGAATTGAATAAATGAGACGCTATTTACAAACTTATCAGCTAGTCAGATTGCTAGTAAAAATTAAACCTCCTTGATTGAGGCAACAAGACAGAAAATCAATGACATTAAAAGATAAAAGAGGTACAAGCAAAAAGAAAAACCTAAAAAATGACTTCATTTGCCATAAGGTTACAGCACAACATCTCATATAAAGCTCCATGAGACACATACAAAAGCAAAATCCTCCGAAATTCTTGTTTCAGATAATGATCGCATAACAATGACTTGCTACAAGGTTCCAGGACTATCAATGGCACAAGCACATATCAATAAGGAAACCTCAGTTTTAAGAAATAATGGAAAATGGGAAGGTCCATGGGTCACATCAAGAATCTTAGCATTCAGATTACAATAAACTAGTTGAACTCATTGCAATTGAAATAATTCATATCAACAGGAGAAACCGTATTATTTACACAAAATTCCCTTCCATATCATAGACCCTACAGTGTTTTATTTCAGTTTAAGATCCCATAAATCACCATCTCAAGAATCCCACATTCATCCAGGAAACTGAGAAGGCCAGTGTGATTGTAAGCTTGAGCTTAAAGCCTTAACTATAAGTACTAGTGTTTTAATCGTCAACTTATACTTTTTGAAACCTGTTCTTTAAGTGTTAAATTTTAATGGCTAAAAGACTAGCATTCACACCGAATGTTGTTAGCTCAAACTCAACATAACATTCTAGGACCAGGACAAAAAAGAATACCACCAAGCCAACATGAGATAGAAACACAAAGAAGATGACTGAATGACACAGAGGAATGCATCATAAAAACACAACACATTCATCCCCGATAACACACTAATCAACACAAACAACAAAAACCTGAGTATTTTGCCATTGTATCTTTGATACTTGAATAGAAATATACATTTTGCATGCGCCAAAATCAGTACCATATTTTTGGTAAAGAACGATATCATAATCTTTTTAAAAAAAAAAATCAAGATACAGAGAAAAACATGCTTACATTTTCAAATCTAATGTGCTTTTAGGCCTATTTGATGGTCAATTATAAATGAAGATTCCCGTTTCCCATTTTCAATCAGGAAATGAAGGAAAAAAACGCAAAACTACAATAAATTATGGAGAAACAAAGGCGCCTAGCAATTATTTGTTGACACCATGTCATCAAGTATGGTTCATGGAAATTGTGAAAAACAAAAGACATTCGAAATATATAAATCATGGAACCAAGAGGTACCTCTTGTGCCTCTGCACGAACGGTGAGTTCTTGGCATCTTCCTCTGCACATCATTAACATCGATGAATGTTAACACAGTGCGATTAGGGTTTCTTAATCACCATCACAGTAAACACAAAATATCGCATACCAAAGGGGAAAATATGCAGATATGAAGATGCACATACATAAATGAGAAGAAATTGAAAGACATGCATAGATCCAGAAATCATCGCATACCAGTGAGACTAGCGGTAAACTTCGTGATTAGGGCTCCGGTGATAGCGAACCCGACCAGGAACGGCCAGTTGCGATTAAATTCTCTTCTGAAGAAAATCGGCCATGGATCGAATTTCCTCATCTTTCCTCTTTCTCTTGTCCAAATCCTCTAGGCTGCTTCTTCTCCCGTTAGTGTTCTGCTCTCTCGTTGTGGACTTGTGGGGGCTCAAGTTATAAGCAGCTCACCTAGATAGCGACGGTTATCGGGGCGGGTTCGTAACCCGCTCCAATAAGCTCCAGATAAGTAAAAATTTGTAATTAATGGGATATGAATAATGCGGTTCTAAAGTTACCAATGAAAAAGGAATATAGCGTGCCATAGATTAATGAATACCTAATGTTCTATATTTATAATATTATTTTATATTTATTATTGAATATATTATATATTTTAATTAATTATTTAAATATTTTATAATTTTTTAGCTTAAAAAATAAATAAATAATGTGCGTAGAAAGTAAACATTTTACTCGTACAAATATAATATAAAAATAATTTTCTATCCGCTTCGAATACAGTATAAGTATACCATTCAAAAAACAAAATATAATATTAGTATATATCAAATCATAAATATGAGGGTTGAGATAATATGGTTACTAAAATGATTACTGTGTAATATTATGCATGACATAATTATTGGGTCATGACTATTAAATCCTAAATATCATTTACATAATGGTATCAATTGTCCTATTTTAATAATTAAATTTAATATTAATCAATTAGACATAATTACTACTATTTATTGTCTTTGTATATTACCATTTTCTAATGGATAATATGGAGTTTTTTCTTCTTTTTTTTTCAAAATATAAACTATATTTTTTTAAGTACGATAAATTATTTTATATTTGAATTTGAATCATATTTGAATTGGATTGTTATTTCATGTGAATATGATAGGTGATTGTTAAATTTAACCATACATTAATATAAAGTAGCAAAATAATATTAAATACATTACGTTTCTATTTTAACTATAATTTTTTTTAACTTTTATACCATCTTATTTAAAATAAAATATATGCATTAGATTATTCTATAAAACAAGCCGAGAGTAAATAATTATACCTATTACTATATGATCGTGCATGAAACTACATTTTGGCTAATGCCTTAATGATTATAATAAAAAATATAGCTCAAATTCTGCTAACCATTTTAAATGTGGTTCAATCTCAATTGACTACTCATAAGTGATGTTATCTTATCGATCTTGTTGTTTTTGCATTTTCATCGAACGGGGTTATCATTTACTCAGGCAATATTAATTTAGTCCCTAAACATATGAATGTCTTAATTCGATACCAAAACATAAACTTTTTATGTATTATCACAAGATTCAATGGATCATGACATATGTATATCATATCAGATGTTCCTAATGAGATAAAATAAATCCCCTGAAAGCTTGTTAAATTTTGAAGTGATTTATTAAAAGGTTATTTATAACTACTACAAGATATTAGCTTCGACAAGATTAGTCTTAACAACATTTATAGTAATTTAATTTCCAACTACCATAGTTCACATGTGTTGTTTTATTTATACTAATACTTAGCTCATGTAATAATGGTAATTCCTAAGTCAAATTATAGTAAACACATTATTTTAGGGACTATAGTAAATAATTTGTTGTAAGCCCCACGCAAACTTCTTAACATGAAGAGTTTGTGTAATATAAAATAAATGTGTGAACAATCTAAATGGAGGAAATAGTTAACTACTGAAATTTTAAATGTTTTATTAACTTTGATAATGAAAGTAAGGAAAATGTGGAGATTATAGATGCAAATGGTGGTAATGTCGAGGGTGATCAGGGCATAGAAAGTGTTAACAGAGGCAGTTATAAAGCAAGGGGTACGGTTGGGAAGGTTTATAGTGATTTAAGATTGTAGAAGTTGTTGAATGTTCTTTCAGGGCACTTCCACATGCATCTTCTTATTAAATTACTTTTCTAATTTATCTTGGAGTTATTTCTTCAATAGTCGTACTTTATAAACTTCTCATACTTTATTTCAATATTATATCTCACAAAGTATTTGAAATTGACTTATATAGATACTTGAGATCCTCAACAAAATATAATTGTTGTAATAAGAGTGTTAAGCATAACTCTATATTTTAACGAAGAATCAATCTTTATGACCTTATAACACATTTGTTATAATTTATAAGATAGTCTTGCCTTTTTATGCCAACTCCTTGCCTGTTCATCTATTTAGTATGTCGTTTTATTTTCACTTATGGACTTAGTCCATATAGTTATGCTACAATTAGATATATATATTAGATTTTCATGAGTTCTTCATTTTTCATTTTCACAGCAAGCTATGGTCTGTCAATGTTGAAGACTTTTAATTAAATTCTCCAAGATAGTAATGTGAAGACTTTTGATAATATGTACCTTTACATGATACTTGAAAGTTTACATATGTTGTTTGAAAAGTTCTACATCCCTACCAAAGGCATTATAAAAACAACAACAAAAAAAAGAGTTAAACAAAGGGGTTTTGCTTAAGCAAAAAAAAAAAAAAATCGTGATCAAGTACATTGATTCAGGGAAATGGAACATATCTACAGTAAACTTTATAAATAAATGCACATAAATAAAACATTATATGCTTTGATAGAATAAAAAGCTTTTAGATAAATAATTTACTAAGTTTTTACGCTCAAATGTGTAAATTAGTGATTTTCAGCAAGCTATATTACTGTAATATTGTCCCTTATAAGTGGCGGCTTTCTTGATATCCATCGCTTGATGGTCCCACTCATCATAAGGGTACTTTAACTTGACATATATGCTTTTATTAGTAATGATGGTTGGGCAGGATATTATTATTGTGCAAATATAAAATATGAATAATAATCTTAACTAAGATGAGACAACTCTCGTCCCCCCGTATCTCAAAAGTAGCAAGAACTTCAGTCTTGAGATATAATCTCGAAATAACAAGAGATAATAACATCTAAAAATTTATTGTCAAATGAAATGTCAAATATGTTATTTCAAAAGGGAACATCAAAAGACTTACTATTGAATGAGATGTTTAAAAATTATTTCATGATCTCTCATATAGACAAAAATACTATGGGAATTTAAGTTATTAGTTGATGATGTAATTTATTTTTTTTCACACATATATTCATATAGTATGTAATCAGGTGATTAATGTATTAACTAATAAGACATTTATAGTTTCTAATAGGTTGTGTCCCTTACAATAACATCATTTTTATCATTATCCTGTATAATAGGGTGATAATTTTTAATTCAACATAGGATATTCAAAAATGGTGTAGATCAATATATAATGATGTCTTAATAACTATAAGCAATTACTAAGTCAATTAAAAATATATGATAATTGATAAAAAACTAAAAAGATATTATCGATAAGGTGATTCTTGTTTGTTTATAGATTATAAATAAGGTAATTTATCATCACTTATATATTTATCGAGTCTCATATAACACATTTTTGAAGTATAGATTACATGATTATTGAATGATGAAATTATTTGTACATTATATTGATTAATTGTGTGCAATAAAAAAAAATAAATAATTAATTAACTTTAGGTTACTTTTTATAATTTCAATTTGTTATTACAACTAATAGCACAATCCTAACTTCACAATAATGACACTTTCTTGGTTAATTCATTTTATAAGTACCTAGTAGACTTTACAAATAGAATAAAGTATGTTTTTCCCAGTAAAATCATATGGAAGTCGCAAGCTCCACCTAAAATCTCTTTATTCACTTGGGAGATTGCAAAAGAATGTATCTTGACCATTGACAATCTCATTAAGAAAGGTTTCCAACTAGTTAACAGATGCCATTATACATATCTAAATTATAAAGCTGCAGACACCTTTTGTTATGGTGCCCAACTATTTACAGTATGTGGACTGATCTCTACAGTCTAATGGGTATTCATTGGGTTATAGTAAGCTCCATCAGTGCTGAACTTCTCGCATGAGAGGGTCTCACTTTCAAGAACAAGTGCTTCCAATTAATTCCACTCAGTATGTTACGATTGTTTTGGAAAAAAAAAAAAACAATAGAATTTTTGAGAGCATTGAAAAGAATTTTGCTAATATATACTTATTTCGTTATATTTTGTTACGACATAATCTTGATAGTTTAAATAATTTTAGGATTATTATAGATACCATTAATGAGCTGTAAATTCCTTGTACTTTGATGGCGCCTAATTAATATATATCTTACACTTTCTTCTTTAAAAAAAAAATCCTAACTTCACAATATAAATGCGGGGATATATATATTATGATTTATAAATTTAGTTTTATTTTTTGTTAAATTTAAATGAACAATAATTCTTTGATCCTATTTCTCATTTACATTAAAAATATATTTATTAAGTTCATTTTGAAAAAAAATCCACAAATAAATATTTGAGATTCAACTTATACAAACCATATCCTAACTGAATAAATTATGCACTACATTTTAATTGGAATTTATTAAATCATGTATCTGATTTAATTCGTTATATATTTAACTATACGTAAAAAGAATGATATCAAAATAATATTTATACACATAAAAATTAATGACACAACTCTATTAGTTTGATTTGAAAAATAAAGCATAAATACAAACCTGATAAAACGTTACTCATTCAATTATACACTCAAAACTTTTATTGAATATAATAATTAATTAAATGAAAATATTAAATTCTTATTGCTATAGAATTAAGTCATTTTTAGTTTTTTATATATATAAATTAAGTTTGAATTATTAATCATACTTTTTTATTTTTTTTTTAAAATTATTGTTTAGTCTTGAAATTATTTATTATAAAATATTTCATTATGAATTGATTATTAATTTATAAAACTGTTTCAATTCATAATTTTGTTTATATAACTCAAAATTTTGATACAAATAATAGAAATATTTTATTTTCTACTTATTTTAAATTTCATATAAAATGTAAACTTTTAAAACTATAACGAATTAAGTATCCATCTTAATAAACTTTAACAAGAAATAGAAAATTTGTTTTGTTTAAGTTATACATATCATAATAAGTATAAGAAAGATGGTAGACCTACAATAATATATATATTTTTATTTTCAATTTATTAATTTTAAATAGAAAATTATATTTTCAAGTAATTTTTGATATTATTACTTGACAAAAAAGGTAATATTTTTTTTAATCAAAAATATTAAAAATCAGTAAATTCAAATATTAGGTTATAATAAAAAATTATAAAATTAAACTACATCATATCCTATAATAATTAATTTACCCTAAAATTTTTATGAAATATTCTGGGGGCTGTGCTGTGGGAAGGTTGCAATTTCATGAATCAATTCACAATAGTTTTCACGTGCTTGGCACGTGCTCTAAAAAATTTAAATGCAGTAAAGCCACAACATTTCATACAATTTAACTCTCCACCCGCCAAAAGAAATGCAAAATGTCGTCGTAATCGACAATCCCGCCCTCAAGCCCTCGAGATCTTATTCACCGTAGATTGTTTTCTAATCGACGGTTTCAATCGAATGTCAAGAGCCTCACGGATCAATAAAAAGTCCGTTGATAGAATCTCGATCCAACGACCATTATTAAAAGCCGCTCCTAGAAGACCGTGAATCTAAACGATTCTAAGCCGTTGATAACAATTCCATCAACGATAGACAACCAAGAACTACTAGTTTCACGCGGATAGATATTGTTAACCGTTGGATTGAAAATCACATCGAACGGTTTGGATTAGTCCCCGCCAATAATCCAGTCTCTCCATAAATACCCGAATTTCTCTCTTCTCAATCGAATAGCGAGTCCTCTCATTCGATTCGTTCTCAATTACATTTTGATCTGAAAACTCTCCGAGAAAATCACCGAGTTACTGAGAAAATGTCGGGCCGTGGAAAGGGAGGCAAGGGATTGGGCAAGGGAGGAGCAAAGAGGCACAGGAAGGTGCTGAGGGATAACATCCAGGGAATCACTAAGCCCGCCATTCGCCGTTTGGCTCGTCGAGGTGGCGTCAAGCGTATTAGTGGTCTGATCTACGAGGAAACAAGAGGAGTGTTGAAGATCTTCTTGGAGAATGTGATTCGTGATGCTGTGACATACACCGAGCACGCCAGGAGAAAAACAGTGACTGCTATGGATGTTGTCTACGCCTTGAAGAGACAAGGTAGGACTCTTTACGGTTTCGGGGGTTAGAAACGTTTCATCGATGCGGCTGTATTGGGATTGTTTAGGTTTAGATTCGGTTGTAGATCTTGCCTCTAGATCTGATTGGACTGTCGGTTTTCTTTTCTTCAATATGATGTTTACTGTATTATTGAAAATCGGATGTCAACGTGAAAGATTTCCGTTTTTGTGCAAATAATTTTGCTTTTCCGCTCATTTTCTTCGTTTTTCCTCATTCATGTGCATTGCTTCTCCGGTTTATGTTAATGCGGATCCAATGAACCTAAAAAGTTTCTTTCAAATTCTTAGTTATCAAGCAGGACGTGAGCTTTCTCTTGCGGCAGAATTTAGCTAAGTTATCGATACCGTGAAATTTAACTTTATTGGGGACTAAATGATTCTTATCGATAAGATTTTGGATTACTCGTAACATATTTTAGTAAGAAACAGTTGTAAAAGTAATATCCGTGTAACTCTACTCATATTCTGGTCTAACGCGGTGAATTTGAATTCTAATCTTGGCCGAGGTAAATCTCTACTTGTTTTCCCTTTTGCGTTCTTTCGTTTCTTAGGTAAACATTCATTTACTTCTCTGAAAAGCTGCATTACCAACTGGAAGAAAAAGCAAGACAAGAAAAACTTGCTCGTGTCCTTTTCATTAGTGTTTCATACGTTTTTGCCGAGTTCACTACCTCCCCTGCCATTTCTTTTGTTCCAAGATTGAGATATATATAACTGGTATAATGCACGAAGTTTTTCTTAAATTTAATTTCCGCCCACATAATATTTCTTTAGTTGAATAAAAATTAATTAAAGCGTAATACCCCTATTATTGGATCTTGGTTAACAATGTTTTAAGAGAAATTGTTTTGTTCTATGTGCATATGTTTGTGTAATAATCATATTTTGAATAATACTCAACAATAATTAAAATTGATTAATGAACTTATAAATAAATCTGTATCATACTATTAATAAAAAAAAATAGTACCATGTAAATGTACGTATTGTCTAAGATGGTTTCCCTAAATTCGAAATTCATAATTAAAAGATGAAGTTGAGCAGGCCGGTTGTTGTTTAAGATTATCACTTTGAATTTATTTTATTACTTTTACGCTAATTTTTTCTTTTTGGGTAATTGCTTGAGAAAATGCTTGATCCCAAAATCATTATAGAAGTGAAAGTAATCACCTAAAGTACATGCCAGGTGATTACGTAAGAATTAAGTATTAGTTATGAGATTATCAATTTTTAACGTATTCGGTTAACAAATTACTAAATACAAAACATTTTTTTAAAAAATAAAATAAAATAAAAGAATTTTCTTGTTAATATTCAAATTAACAGATCTTTTATAATTAGCCTAAATCACCTTGAACTTCTTTACACGCAGGCCAACCAACAAAAGGTCCAAAATCAACCATCACCCCTCGCCACGTGTCAAGTCACTAGTCCCTTTGTTGCTGACGTGGACCTCTCTCTTCGATGCCATTTTCTAACCTAGAAAATAAATGAACAGCTTCACCTCCGTACACTTGTATTATCCACCTTAAAAAGCTGAAAAAGAAAAAGAAAAAGAAAAAAAGAAATCTCTCTCTCTCTCTCTCTCTTTCTTCGTCGATTTTACTAGAAGCTCCGGCTCACAAGAATTCCCACCGGAGACCAGCTGTAATCGCTTACTTTAACGGCAAAATCTGGAATTCCGACCGGCATATGCCCGTATCTGGTATGGGGATGCCCGGAGACGACGACGTCGTTTTGATCCAGAAAGGAAAGAAGGACGGAGACCCCCACGTCATAACCGTGAATTGTCCTGATAAAACCGGTCTGGGATGCGATATTTGCAGAATAATTCTCGATTTTGGGCTTTACATAACAAAAGGAGGTAGAATCTCAGCTTTATTGACATTGTTGGTGCTTCAACTGCGATTTCTCTTTGTACTTCAGTGCGATTCCTTGATTTTTTTTTAATGATATTTAAAGATTTTGTCTCTTGTACCATTTTTCTGGTACGAGTTTCTATACGCCATCGAACTTTTCTTAACAATTCTCTAGAGCTGGAAACTTGTTTTCTGTTGGTTGAAATGACTTGAGTGCGCTGTGTGTCATACTCGTTCTCACTACTTTTCGTCATTCTGTTTAATTTTAGAGCAAATGGTGGGGAATGTGAAGTTGTTGTTGGAACAATATTATTTGAGATTGACATGGATAGCATTTTCAATGCAATGGAATTAAGTATTTCATTTTCTTCCATTGATGGATCATGCTTTATGATTTATATTGGGCCGTCTAAAAAGGTATGCGATGGAATTAAGTATTTCAACAGTGGAATTTGTCAGTACTTTTTATGATTCTGTTTAATTTTGGAGCAAGTGGTGGGAAATGTATAAAACAGTGATTGAGATTTTCCTTATTTGAAATTAACATGGAGAGCATTTTCTGAAATTCATTTTGGTTAGTGTGTTATGCCCTTTCTTGGTCAATGTTTTTTCTTGTAGTTCGTTATCCCTTCCAAGAATGAAAGGTAGCATTTTCATCCTCCTATACTTTGCGTTGTTGTTGCAGAAGGGTGTTTCAAATTTTAATGAATGTTATGGAAATGGAATGCAGTAGTTCCATAGATCTGATTAATGGATTTGCTGTAGGATAATTACCTGTAACAGCATCTAATGTTTGGGTATTAAATCTAACTTTAAGGAGGGTATATGACTTGGGTGATTGCAAGTTACTGTAAAATGCACTTTATTTATAAGTATACATCTTTCTGAATAGCTGATTTTTGCTTATTCAGTACGTTTGGTTGTAAATTTTCGACCGATGGGATATGGTGCTACATAGTGTTATGGGTGATACCTCATTCTAATTCACTTATTGTTAAATGGTCCAATTTGAAGAACCGCCTTCAATCTGTATGCCCCTCTTGTACAATGTCAATTTTGTTCAAACCGGAGTCTCCTCGCCCCAAAACCTCACCGATGTACTTACTAAAGTTCTTTTGCCTTGATAGGAAGGGGTTATTACATGGTAAGAATAGCATATCAACTTCTGGTGCTTTTATTTGTTCTAAGCAAATTTGTGTCTTTTTTGGTAAATGATTCTAATGCATCTGTGTATTTCGTGTAGATGTTACTCAAGTTCTTTGCGAACTTGAACTTACAATTCAAAAGGTGAAAGTAACAACAACACCAGATGACAGGGTTCTTGACCTTTTCTTTATAACAGACAACAAGTGAGTTGCTTTTCTTTTTTTCTTTATAACATTACAGTAGAATGTCGAAATTACTTCATAATGGCTAAAGTGAGAATTTGGACAATAGGATAATATTAAAATAGGTAAGGTCTAGTTTCCATTTAGCTTTTTGCGTGTCCTGCTGTCAAAACAACTGAACTTCAATTATGTCAAAGGTTTTACAGTCTTATTTTAGCTTCTTTTCATCATGGTTTAATGACGAACTCGATGGTCAAGATATATATTCTCTTTCTTTCTCTCTGTGGTGGGCGGGAACTAGAACTATTTTTTGTGGATATGTTATGTATGCTTGTCTCCTTCACTCTAATGTTTTTTATTTCTGAAGCAGTGCCTTATATTTACTAGTCCAGTGAAAGAGAAAAAGAAATCTACTTAATAAGTATATCTCTTAAGCATTTTTTTGGGTTCTTGAGAAGGTAGTATGCATTTGAAATGGTGATAGAACTGTTATCTTGTAATGAATAGAGATTTGGTGGATTCTCTTCTATCTTCTATTTTATTTATTTAATTTCTTTCCGTTAAATACAGCATTTTGATGTCCTTGTACTTTATTCAGCGTAACTAGTCGTGAAGTTGTGGGGACCCCATTGTGCTAGTAGTTATTAACTCTTAATGTGCAACACTCTTCTTTCAGGGAGCTTCTACATACAAAAGAGCGGCAAGATGAGACATGCGAACAGTTGCATGCTGTATTAGGTGAATCATGCATTAGTTGTGAACTTCAGGTGGCAGGTCCGGAGTATGAGTGTCATCAGGGTATCTCCTCCATTTCTCCTGCTGTAGCTGAAGAACTGTTCAGACCTGAGCTATCTACCATAGAAAGTTCACAAGCCCTCAGCCCAGATATGTCAAAATTGAAGGAAGCCAATGCTACAATAGACAATTCATTGAGCCCAGCTCATACCTTGCTTCAGATACATTGCATCAATCACAAGGGTCTCCTCTATGATATATTAAGAACTCTGAAAGACTGCAACATTAAGGTGTGGATTTTTTATCCCATCGTTGTTATAAATTACAATTTTAAGTTGACAAACGCCTTATTCAAGGCCTTATCCTTCATCCCATCCACCAGAGAGAAAAATAATCCTAGCACAGGGCAGTTTTAATATATCAGTTTGATCATCCTATGTTGTTATTAGCCTCGTTGGACTGGAATCAGAAACATTATGTTTCCAGCTTCTCTAAATTCACTTAGCCTTCAAAATATGGTTATTGCATGTGGTGTTAGAAACAACTAGCTTAACATCTAAGGTCTTATATTTAGTTGTTCTTGCTAGTCCGTAATGGTCCCTTTTCTCTCATGATGTCATGCTTGGAATTCCTTATTTCTCCTGATTCCTGATTAATGAAAAGGAAAAAGAAGTGTATCAAGATTCTTCTGTTGCTGAACTTTTGCTTGCCAATTAACTGACCCGTGGGATTACCAACTGCGGTAGAATGTTTCTTCATGTATTCGTTGTGCTTATGTTCTCTTTATGCAGACAAATAATATGTTCCTATTTTACTGATGCATCCTTTTGTTCTTCCGATACAGATATCTTATGGTCGGTTCTCACAGAATACCAAAGGTTATCGAGATTTAGACCTCTTTATTCAGATGAAGGATGGCAAGAAGATTGTTGATCCTGAGAAGCAAAGTGCATTATGTTCTCGTCTAAAGATGGAGATGATTCATCCATTGCGTGTCATCATTTCAAATCGAGGGCCTGACACGGAACTTTTGGTTGCTAATCCAGTTGAGCTATCAGGAAAGGGAAGACCGCGGGTATTCTATGATGTGACACTTGCTCTTAAGGCACTTGGGATATGCGTATTCTCAGTAAGTAATCATTACATGATAAGAAAGTGATTCAAGCAGCATCATGCATTATCTATTCCTACACCTCATATTAGCTTAAGATGGAAGATCATTCAAATTTGTTTGGTATTAGTTCAGTGATGGAATGCTTGGAATATAATAGGACTCATGCAATTGTATGAATGGCTGCTGCCATCTTAACAAATTCATGATCAAACATCAATTCCAAGATCCATGGTGGCTAACTAATCACTTTAACAAGAAGTTACCTGGTGAATTAAACAGCATGGATTACTGTTTACGCTTTGATCTTTGCTTTCTTCTTTCATAGGCTGAAATAGGAAGATATTCAATGTCTGGCCGGGAATGGGAAGTGTACAGGTTACTTTTGGACGAGAATTGCATGTTTCAACTGTCGACCATGGTAGCATCGAATCTGATTGCAGATAAAGTGAGAAGAACATTAATGGGCTGGTGAGGCGGTTCATTTTGCTTGTGGCGGCTGCAAATGTCCTTTGTCCTGCACAGCAATTTGAAGGCGCTCGAATGCTTACTGATCCATTTGTACAATACGCTAATCTCCACTCGTATGTATATCCCCTTGGCTTGTGTTCTTGGACACCGTTGATTTAATAAAAATGTGAAGCATAGCGTTTTTTACTTCTTGTTGCCCTTTGCGCTGTACGCCTAATCTTTTAAAAGTTCTGTTGTAGCACTCTCTACAAAGTAGTAGTCTTATGGTGTAAATCATGATCATGTGATTTAGTCTCTGTTTCATCTTTTAGTGCATGCATCTATAGAATTCTGTAATTTTTAAATGAAATTGTTTGTGATTAGGTTTAAGTACTATCTGCACCGAACCAGTTACATTTGTGGCTTCTTAATTCAATATTTCCTATAATTATGGTGCTGGCATAAATATAAAACTTGACTCAGTATCACCAAATTTTGATATTTTTCCAAATGATATAACTCATAATCAGTAAAACTGACGAATTGAGTTTTTATTTTTCTTTAATTAGTTTTCTGTCAAGAGCATTTTAGTAAGTTTAAAACCATGTATTTTGTCAATGCAAAATGTACCCCTCCTCATTCATTCTTCCTCCTTCCTTTGTCCCCCTAGGCTCCTTTCCGGCCTGTTGACGGCTCTCCTTCACAAAACCAAAGACAAATGGGAAGAAGGACACCTTCTTCGCGAACCAACTGTCTGCAGCTCTGTCTTCGACTAGAGGAAGCTTAGGCAATCAAGTTCTCCGTTGATGCGATCTGGTAGTAGATGTTAAATGGAGCTCTCGCCTGCATCTTCTTCAGGTAAATTAAGAAGATTAAGTTAATTTTTTAATTAGCAGAAAAAAAAAACATTTAGAATAATATTAATCATATTTTGAGGACTAAATTGGATATTAATGCTAAAATTGATTATTTTAGGCATATTATTATTTTTTAATTCCTAGAATAAAAATGTTTAATTAGGATGAGAAGACTTGTATCTTCTATACGAGTGAAATTAATAAGGTACTTGTATTATTATTAACGCAAAGGTAATATTAACTCAGAAATTAGAAATCCAACACATGATTGTGTAAAGATGGTTGACAAATTATTCCTCCGACAATTTTATCACGTACCAGAGCTTAATCTATTATTAACAATTTTTTTTTTTGTATTTTTTATTTTATTGTGAATGATTAAATCTCATAACAAGTTAATTAATATTTTAATTAAAAAGATTACGTCCTTATCCTAATGTTTTAATTATTCTAAGAGTCTTCTAATTTTTTGTCTCGTTTAGTTGCTTACATACGATTATTAATACACACATGATTAATCTACCATACAATTTATTACTCGAAAAAATGACTTTAAAACTAAACTTACTTAAAATTCTATAGAATTCGTAAGTACAACTTTCTATATTTTATTGTTTAAAATGTTAAAGAAAATAAATTTTAAATGAATAAATGCATGTCTATCTCTAAATGAATAAATCGTGTTCAATTAGAAGAATTTAATTGAACTACGCATTTGATAAAATATGATTTTTTTTTTTTTTAAAGATCAAGGTCCAAATACCTCTTTTTTTCTATCTTTATAAGTTTCATAAATAATTGCATTTTCTAACTTTTGTTAGTGAAAAAGTACACCAATTTTGTCATAAATTAGTCATTTTTTTAAAAAAAATTAAAATTAAAATTTTAATTAATAAAATTTAATTATTATAATTTTTTTTATGAAAATAATAAATTTATTAAATTTTTTTGAATTTAATTTAATCACTATAATAAAACATTAATATATTAAATTATTAATTTCACTTGATCAATTATTATAATCAATCACGAATAATTTATAATATGCTTGTATTTATAATGTGATTAAATTTATAATTTTAATAAAATTTAAATTTATAATATTAAATATTAATTTTTATAAACAAGTTTTATACAATAATAAAATTAGAATAAATATTTTTATTTAAATATAAAACCAATCATGATGAACAAACATATATCTTTTATAAAATAAGAAAGATATTTTATATTATTAACCATCTTATTCTTACTTCCTGGTGACGCAATCAATTCTCTTAGAATTAGGCACGTGTAACATTGTGAGAAACACACTATTCTTCTCGCAGCGACACAACATCACGCCATTGCTTCTTCATTCCTCTTCTAGATATTCTTCCTCTCTCTCTCTCTCTCTCTCTCTCTCTCTCTCTCCCCGTTGTGCGTCTCTGCTTCGCCAGATCAACCTCCATTGTTTATTATATCCATTTTGTGCTAGTAAAAAGGTCAAAGCAGAGAAGAACTGTAAAAAAAAAAATCATTATTAAATTTAGAACATTGCCTATTTTGCTTCAAGAAGAAGACGAATTCAAGGATATACATGGGATAAGACCTAGAGAAAAAGGATGCGTGCTGCTTTTCTTTCTCGGCAATCGAATATTTCAAATTAAATAAGGTAGGTTTTCTTGCTTTTAATTTAGGGGTCATGGTGTTCTGGCTTTGATTCTGTTAATGTGATTTCGTCGAGGTTTCAACAGAATGCCAAAACCCTCCTCATCCCCCCGCAGCTCTGATTATCTCGAAGCACTTACGCAGGAAATCGAGAAGAAGCTTCAACGGGTGCGTTTCTGTTCTCTGTTATCGGGAATCGTTTTTGCTTCTGAATTTATGTTTGTTTTGCTCCAAAATGAAGGGGAAATGGAAGGGATTTGATCTTAGCTGTGTAGCTTTGGTTATGGTAACAGTCTTTGGGAATATAGTTGTTTCTCTTTTTTTTATCTTATAACAATGTGATCCTTGCTTCTTTGAAGCAAAGAGATCGATTCCAAAGTTGTTTGTTAAATTATTTTTTGCATGGATGCTCGTTGAATTCTTCCAGGCACTTGCTTCTCAATCGCAGAGACGAAACTTGCTGCAAGAGTTGTTTGCTGATGTAGCTTTAGAAGTCGATGAAAGAGCCAAGGGTAAGCTTGTCTTACAAAAACATCTTAGTTTTTTATGCTCGGCAGAATCCACATGAAAATTGAGCTCGAGCACCTAAATTAGTATTGCGAAAATTTGTTTCATCTGTCATTTAAATTTCTGTTGAGCAGGAAGATCTTGTATGGTATTGTTGGCATCTTAAGTTCCAGTAGCATCTACTCCAATTAGGTGGAAATTTTGGTAAACTAAGACTAAATTAAGGGCCAGTTTCTTAGGAGGTTTTCCTTCTTTACCTTTATATATTTGGTTGATGTTTTACTTCTGGTAATCTTGGAGATAGATGAAGATACCTTTATTTTTTTCTGCATTGTCTACATGCACATTTTTCTCAACCCTGACATAGCATTTTAATCTATCTATATGAATTGAGTATTATCATCTATTGGCAGTTCAAATTAAATTCCCTATCCTCGGATACTAGAGGTATGTTTTATCTATAGTCCTGCTTATATAATGTTCTTTTTGTTTTAAATTAAATTGTTAACAGATATGATTCTCAGTGGGGAAGAAGATTCAATTTCTCCTGCAGAGTATGGAGCGGATGCTCCAATATGTTTCTATGATGTCCTTGCTGATTATTATGTTAAGGTGCCTGATAGTGGAAAACCAATCCTTGATTTAATTGTCCAACTTTGGAGCCAGTCATTTGCGTCACAAATTTTCTCACTCTTGTTCCACAAATGGGTATGTGATCTTCGTTTATTGTACTTTGAGGTTTGCTATTTTAATTTAGGAGTTTTTTGGTTTTGGGCTAGTAGCATCAGTTGGGGTTTTACTACCATTGAAAGACCTCTTTTCCTCCCTCGGTTTTCCTCAACACGATTTCTCTTGTCTGAATAATAGAATTCCATCCTTGTGATGAACCAGGCTAAAGCTGAATGTATCACAAACCAGTTAATACGTTATAACTGACTTCATACTGAATGGAACTTGAAAGCTGGCCTAATCATGTTCAGTGTAGGAGAATGCTTGAAGAGATTGGTTTCTGGATATTGTTTTGTTATTTATTCACGTAATATCTCTGGAGTCCTTCTCCCAAAAAAAAATCTTGGAGCTTTCTTCTAAAGAAGCATCAGTTATTGTTACATGTAGTAATTTAAATAGGCATTGCCATTTGCACTTAGTTTTTCTTGGCAGGACATTTGCATATGGTTAATGGGCAAATTTTGCACTGCGCTTCAACACCCATGCTTTATCAAGAAGTGCAGGAATCACAGTCCCAAAATTTTTCTGCATGATTTAGGATTGTGCCCGTTAGTATGCTAACATATTTGCTGAGGGTAGCAATAAGAAAATATAATATTTTTCTTCCGTGAATTTTGACTCTTCCAGAAGGGGTACAAGTCAAAATGAGAGTCGCCATGAGTTTTTTCTTAATTCTATTTCATAAACTTTCTAGTTCTAGGTTCTCGAGCGTTGTTTAGTTTTATGGTCGAGTTTGGTTATGGTGGCCTCAAGTCAGAATCATTCTTATTCAAGAAAGAAAATGATAACAAAACTAATAATAGACAAGTACAAAAACCATAAGAAGATTCGTTTTGTTCCCTTAAATTTCCAATTTCATTTTGTGTATAAAGTTGACATACTTAAACATTTAGCTATGAAACCATTTTTAGTGGCAAAGAGAGATGCAAAGCTTATTATTTGAAAATTGTGAATCTTTAGTAATCTTGTTCCTTCAATTTTAATTTGTTCACTGTTCACTACAGTTACTAACTTTCACACTCAAGCAGCAGCCTTGTCTGGCATGCATCTGGTTTGATGTCTATGATTTATCGCTAACTAAACTAACTTGTTATATTTCAAATCTATTTGACTCTTCATGAATAAATGAGGCTAAAATTTGTAGTTGCTAGTAATGGCATCTTTCCATGTTAAAACCCAAGGGATCTTACTTTCTCATAGTAAAGGATTATTTGTTAATTCATAAGAATCTCACCTTGATGGTAACATTGAGTGTACACACTTCTTCTGCAGCTATTTGAGGTCCAACTAAAGAATCCAGAAGTCCTCCTCCGTTACTCATCTGCTCTTGTTCAAGGTGCAACAAATGTTTTCTGGTACGATACTAGTAGTTCAGAGCCATTTGTGGTTAATATTTTTTTCTGCAAAATTGCTTTTCAGTGCTTGGATTTCCGTCTGCTTTTGCTGTGTATTTTTTATGTGGGCATGGATGTGCATCATTAGAGGGTTTCTTCTATAAGGGGATACGATGGCTGAATCACTAAATTATTTTGAGACCCTTTATACTAATTGCCCCTTCGGTGATGTTGGCCTGTTAAAGACGTATGCTCGCTTTATGATGCTTAGACTATTATTTTTATGTTTAATTTGGTTCAACCACATTACATTTTCATTCTTGATATACTCCTTCCATGAGTTTTGAATAAATTACCAGGCTAACTACTTTCCTTCCCTCTTCTCCCAACCTTTCCAGGATTGACATCCAGACAAATACTAGGCGCTTCCAGACCCTCTTTCGGGCAAGAGTCCTTCCAAAAGAATAATATTATTGTTTTAATTAGTATAATTGTTGGAATATTTCTTACATTGCTTTTTTCTCTATTTACTTCTGCCCAACACGTGTCTTTGCAATGATTCAGTATCTACTAGAGGAAGTTGCTTTGGAGCCCACTCGCGTAAATAAAATTCCTGTCCAGGTCAAGATTTTATCTCAATCACGTGTCCTACTTTTTTACCAACTCTGACCATACATCAGAAAATTGATCTAGATGCTGGAGATTTAATTTACAGCTGCAATATTTCAGGCTCAGCGGGATCTTTACCTTTTACTTTCAAGGTTCATCTTATTCTACAATTCAGGTATATAACTTTAATAAAAAAAATCCTTGTGGAATATATCCCTTTTCGAAATGTTATCTTTTTTCATGGCATGTTTTATGCAGTTGACAAACTCAAAATCTTCTTGAAGCATATCCCGGTTTTTCCAAATGCCTTTTTGATTGGTGGGCCAGGAGATTTCTTTATTATTGAACTTGCAGATCAGGTAAATTTGATAATTATGGGTAGACCATAAATGCCCTTTTGGTATCAGAAAAATCTGCATAGGTTAATACGTTCTAGTTTCTCATATGGCTGTTGGAATTCTTTTCTCAGCTTCAAAAGTTAAAGGTGGAACCAGTGCTTCTCCATTACCTTTCCCAGATGAAAGTTCTTCAAGGTATGCACCTGACAACATTTTTGGCTGCTAACATGTTCTTCTTGCCTAGGTTTGATGAGTTTTAGTCAAGTTAATACGAATACTAATGAATATCTGTAGGAATGGAACTTAGAATGACTACAAGTACGAGGTTAAAGACATGTTTGTACAGCTTCACTTCTCCTGGTGGTCCAATGTATCCTACAAGAGCCGTTCGTCATGCAGCCTGGGATGCTTTGGATTTACTATTTCCTGTGAGTATTGCTGTATTTATTTATCTCCATCTGGTATTTTTCCCATTTCTATTTGTGTGTGAATAATGAGCTTCAATTTGGCAATCAAGCATTACATTCAGCGAATTCTTATAGTAGTGGATCATTGTGTGTTATCTGTTAGAGAATCCTGCATGTATTCACAGTTTCTCCAATTCCAGTTTAGTGTGAAATGTATATTTAATGTAAGTTGAGCCAAGTCTAACAAGGTAGATGTTATATTAGTGACTGGCATAAGCTACTAGTCTCAGTTATTGCTAGTGTGTTTATTTTACATGATCAACTAGCAAACATTTATGGTGTACGACTTGGACAAAGAACCATTATCCTGCCGGACACTTAAGATGAAGTTTCTTGATTTCACAAGTTAAAGTACATTTTACAGCAAGAAATACTTTAATGTAATAGCTTGGAATAGTATTCCACTTAATCAAATCTTTTGGATCTAGTAATGATACTGAAAAAAATAACAATTAACGCATACCCATTGTGCAAAATAATTCGATACTATTACACAAATAGTAGCTCCTAGTTGCATGCAATTTAAGATTTTCATCTATTTAATTGTATTAGAGAATATATATACATATATACACACACAAGCGTGCGCATATAGAGCATAGTCAACGTCAATGTTGCGGTGCAGGTTGGTCGTTATCCTCGGCATCTCATAAGCCTGTTTTTTCGACTGTTGTACCCATGGTATTGGCCATCGTCATGTTGGAACTTCGTAATATCATGCATAAAGGCCGTGTTCTATTCCCTCTTGAGGTTCATATTTTCTAGCTGGGAGAAGGTTGGAGAGCGGAAGAGGTACTGAATTTAGAGCCACAAGGTTTCAGTTATCAATCTACCCTTAGATTGTGATGTTCAGAAGCTCTACGAGCGGAGTTCCAAATTGTATTCTGTAAGTAGTATGCATAAGATATCTGTTTCTTTTCATTTTGTTTTCATTTCGTTTCATTCTAAGTCCTAGATGAACAATTCTGGAGGGCTTTTTATTTGACCTCCCAATCTTGACATGTCTGGTGTAGTTATTCATCACTAATTCTACAAGATTAAACTTTTCACCTTAGAAAATTTAAATTCGTATTTGGACATAGCACTATTGTGATTCAACTATATATTTGTTGAAGAAAATGTCAAGCTTGAACAGTTTAATGGTTATGATTTTCTTTTACCATCACTACTTCTGGACCCATCTACATTCCATGAAACGTCACTTGACGAGTTTACCACAAAACCAATTGAGATCAGAAGACCAACCATTTAACAATTAGACTGTACAATAACATGTTTTCGTTTCAAAGGTAAGAACCCTTATATTTGGATTCTTTTGCACAGGTTCTAAGGACCTTAAGCCAATGTAGATTAAATAGAGAATCTCGTAACTGCATGACAATACATGCCTCCCAAAATGATTAACATCATCTCCTCCAGCGAGATGACAATAAGCTAGAACTGGCAACAGAAATCAACTTCAGATTTAGGAGTCTGTCCTTGGCAGCGTGCAGTCCTCAACAACTCAGATAAACCCAATCGAACAATAAGTTTCAACATAATATAGTTTCTTTAAAAACACCTAAACCTGCAAAAAGAATTCTAGAACTCCTTTGCTCAACGATGACAGCTAACCAAAAAATACTTATAACAAAACTGACAAAAATCAACCCACTACGTCTCCCTAAAAGTCTTTACCTGTTAGTTTGTGATATCCACTGCACAATACCTCCCAGCGCCAGGAGTAAGAAAAATTGGAAGATGTTCTTCCATCATTTCTTTATATTTTGTAAAAAGAAATATATAAAATATCCTTCTTTTCCTCTTTTTTCATCTTATGCTTCTTTAGATTATTATGCTGACAGAATCATCAACCTTGAGGCCGTCCTTGGTACACAGCTTAACAGCTAAAGCACATGCACATCACAAGCGCATTCGTGCATCTCCCCAGCCAATGAAATCGATCATGTAACTTACTCAACCTGAAGACAGGTGCAAGCCTCCGAATACAATGTTGGTGATTAGCTACAAACCATTTCCAGTTGGGAAAACAATCAATAGTCCAAAGAAAATCAATCCCCTAGTTCAGGCTTGTGTCATCTCTGCCAGTGTTTTCCACAGACAAGTCAACAGGTTGAAATGATATAGAGAGATTCCTCAGTAACGGCAATAATCTAGTTATGATAATCAGATACATTAAGTTTTTCATGAAAAATTTCTGGGCGATAACACAAACCAGTAAAATAACCTGATCATCATCTATCATACAGAAGCCAAACTTCTAATGCAAGGCAACAGGTGGATTAAAGAAAAAATGAGAAGAGACCTACCTGAACTTCAGCCTCCTGGCTTCACAATGCAGAAGCAACCAAATACACTGAAGAAGCTGAGAGTGAGGCACGTTCAGAAAGGTGAAACCTCCCACAACTTGTTGCCATATGTTCATTAGCTGGGGCAAAAATGAGAACAGTTCCGCTCCTATCCTCCCCAGA